CGCCCTGTGTGCCCCATACCCTTCTCCGGAGAGTGTCCTATCGGAGGGGGAGCCCTGCCCGCCCTGTGTGCCCCTGTGCCCCTTGAGGGAGAGCATCCTATTGGAGGGGGAGCCCTGCCCACCCTGTGTGCCCCGTGCTCCCCGAGGCAGACCGTCCTAAGGTCATGCCTCGCTGATCTCCTCAGGCGGATGAGCTGCCACCACTGCGCTGTTCCTGAGTGTCCACAAGTGTACCCGGCCATCCCAGACATCCAGGCACATAGTCCTCGTCTGCCCACTGAGGCTGTTTGCTTGGAGCGGGGCCCTTGGGGCCTGAGCCCTAGTGACTGGCTCACTCTTGGTTGTATTGGGTAGAGGAAGGGCCCTGGGGACCGGTGGGCCCTGGAATGACCTCAGGGGCTGTCTGTGGGTGCCCTCCTGACTTCGGGCAGCAGGTTGACCTGGCTGCAGGGTGGCTGGGCCGTCAGAGGGCATGGTGCTGCCTGGGCCAGGTGCACCCTCAGCCACAGCTCGCACTTGTGCCTACAGTATCCTCACTTCTTGAAGAGAGAAGGCAACAAGCTTCAGATCATGCTGCAGCGCAGAAAGCGCTACAAGAACAGAACCATCCTGGGCTACAAGACGCTGGCTGCGGGCTCCATCAGCATGGCTGAGGTGAGTGCTCCGGCCGGTGTGGCCTGTGTTGGGCGCCACAGCATCCGCACGGTGGGGGTTTCTCTCCCGGGTCCAGATGTCTGGGGATCTGATGAGAATGATTGTAGGGTCCAGCCCTGCAGGGTCCTGTGAGCCCCTCTCTACTGGTGCAGAGACAAGAAACTGTGAAAATAAAACTGTGGACACATGATACCAAGATAGAGAAAGAGAAGTCTGGCCCCAGGGGTCCACTGCCAAGCAGTACACACAGAGGCCAGCAGTGGCCTGAGCACCTGGACACCCTGACTTTTACTGAGTGCAACGCAGGGGGCAGGGCAGGTAGGGCAAGGCATTGGGGGTCAGTGCCAGCATCAAGTAAATCACGTGTCAGGCCGGGCGCGGTGGCTCAAGCCTGTAATCCCAGCACTGTGGGAGGCCGAGGCGGGTGGATCACGAGGTCAAGAGATCGAGACCATCCTGGTCAACATGGTGAAACCCCGTCTCTACTAAAAATACGAAAAAAAAAATTAGCTGGGCATGGTGGCGCGTGCCTGTAATCCCAGCGACTCAGGAGGCTGGGGCAGGAGAATTGCCTGAACCCAGGAGGCGGAGGTTGTGGTGAGCCGAGATCGCGCCATTGCACTCCAGCCTGGGTAACAAGAGGGAAACTCCATCTCAAAAAAAAAAAAAAAAAAAAAAAGTAAATCACGTGTCTTAGAGAAAGAGGCCCAGGACTTTCAAGTCGTCAAGGTGAGGAGAAAACCTAATGCGTCAGCCCTTTTTCCTTACTTGTCAAGAAAGAACAAATACATTGAGATGCATGTTACTCTTACTGATTCTATTTTCTGAGAAAAAGAGGAAACAGGTAAGAAGCAGAACATGAGGGTGGACATGGAATGTGACCGCTGAAGCACAGCACCGCATAGAGACAGTTAAGCCCCCAGATGTCTGCCGGCCTCCCTGACAGCCACCAGGCCCACCACAAGAGCTGGGGGAGTGGAGTTTTCTCCTAAGTCCTCCGAGGAAGGAGACATCTTGGACATCTCCTTCCCTAGCTGGCTAATCAGCGGGCACTTTCCCAATGCTGGCGCTGCCGCACAGCCTTGGCGCCCTCCAGCAGCACTTACGCAGGCTTGACAGAGGGCTGAGAGCATCTTGCCTTAGGGTCACTTCTTTCACAGTGGCACCTTGGTTCACACTTCGCAACCCGAGACTTGTTAGCAGAATTAAAAGGTTATACTGCATACATATATCTAGGTATCTCTATCTGTGATTGCTTATGAATAATTATATGATTATCTAACTCTTTTCTATTTCATTATTTATGTGGGAGCAGGCTGAGGCTTCAGACCCTCGCCTGGCGCTTGCGGGGTCTCACCCACGCACAGTGAGGGGCTTGGCGGCTGGGCTCCGTCGTGGTGCTTCCTCTCTGACCCTCCCTCCCGCCCAGCATGGCTCCCTGTGTGCCCGCAGCACCGCAATCTCCCCTCTCACCAGCCTGCCCCGCCCTTCAGTGGAGGCTGGGTTTTGTCGGGCTACTCTGGAGCCCTTCCCAGGAAGTGTCGCTGCCATCCCCGCACCGCTGGTGCCTCCATGACGGGTCCGTGTCCTGCTCAGCACGTGCTCTGGCCTGGGACTGGCTGAGCAGGAGCAGGACAGGCCTGAGCTCTGGGCAGGGGCTGCTGCAGATACCCGAGCAGGGTGGGAGCAGCACCCAGAGGTCAGAGGGGGTGGCTTGAGGGTGAAGTTCCCTGGAGGAGAAAGAAGGGGAAGCACCTCAAAAGGAAAAGAAACAGCCAAGCAGCAGCCCCCCTGTCCCAGAGGACCCAGCACTCCGGGGAGGCCGTGTGGGCGTGGGGGCACAGGAGAAGACACCCCAGGCGGAGGCCTCGGACTTTCTCACGAACGCTTTGGGGCTGCAAGATTGGCTCTGGGAGAAGGGGCAGTCCAGGGCCCTGACCGTTTGTCTCTCGCTTTGGAACTTTCCCTGGTGTGGGGCTGCGCTTGGGTAGGGGTTGCGGACGTGAGTGGTGCTTGGGGCATGTGAGGCTGTGTCGCTGCCTGCCTGGGGCCGGGGAAGGTCAGCCAGGGCAACCCCTCATGGGGAGCCAGAGCTGCCAGAGCCCCCCAGCCCCTCTTCATCCTGCTGAGTCCCCCTGTTCCTGGGGTGCAGGGCCAGGACATTGGGGGTGCCCACCTGTAGCAGGTTCCCCCACAACCCTCTAGAGCCTTCTGGCCTCCTGTCTCCCAGGTCCAGTCCTAGGTCCCCCGGATCCTCACACACCCCCACCTACCCACCCAGGACAAGTGCCAGGCACCGCTGTGGGCTCAGCCCCTCCCCGCTGCCCAGGGACATGGTAGCGTGGAGGGTACAGAAAGCAGCAGTGGGGTCCCGAGACCTCGCCTCTCCGTGCCTCCACAGGGCCTCACAAGCCTTGCAGTTTTCCAGATTTCTTCAGCATACCACGGGCAGCACGGGTGGACCTCCAGGCCACACTTCCCAGGGCCCCAGGACTCCTCTGGTGGCCTAGAGCTGCCTGTTGTCCCAGCCTCCCTCCTGCAGGCTGAGGACAGGTGAACAGGTGGCTCAGTGATGCCGTGAGAGCCTCGTGGGAGCTGCCACAGGCTTCCTGTGGAGCAGAGGGGTCCGGGCACTGTCAGGGGCATGGGCTCATTTCCCATCAGCCGTGCAGGCGATGTCCTGCTGATCCCGCCAGTCCCTGTGAGCTCCCGCCCCCGCCGCTCTGCCCATACCTCTCCACCCGGCTCCTGGGCTGCCAGCCCTGCCTGCACCTCAGCACACAGCTGCTTCTCCCACCCATCAGCACTGGTGCTCCTGTGTTTGGCATCCTTGCCCTGGACACTGGCCTCTGTTCCCAGGCCCCTCCCTCGCCTGTCCCCCCAGCCGTGGGTGCTCCCCTGCTGATCCTGGGGAGAAGCTGGAGCGACCTTCCCCCAGGGTACAGAAGCCACCTTGCCTGCTGCCTGAAAACCCAGCATCTGCTCTTTGCTCTTGGAAGAAAGGCCCCGCCCCTTGACTTAGTCCCACCCCCACCCCAAGGCTCCCTCCCCCTGCACCCATGGCTTCCAAAGCCGAGATCATCTGCCTGCCCCTTGCTCTTCCCTCCACTGGCTCCTCTGGGCCCTCAGGGCGTCTCTCCACCTTCCACAGGCACCTGGTCCCAGAACCTCGCTGGGCCCTTGCCTGTGTCTCCGAGCACCAGGCTGTTCACGTGCTCACTGTGTCCTGCCACCTTTGGGGTCCCCACCTGTGGGTACTGCAGTGTGCCGAGAGTGAGCACGGGCGATTGCAGGGGCAGGACACAGTGAGGGCACAGACGGACAGGCGGAGGGGCAGGGGCTCTCGCTGGGTGGCTCAGGCAGCTATGCCGTGGGGACTCGCTGGCTCCAAGGCTGCACACCTGAGGCGGGGGTGCGGGCACAGATGTCACCATGGGGACTATTGTGAGTGGGGCGTCAGGCAGCTGTGCCGTGCATTGGAGAGGAGTGCTCAGCTGGAGAGAAGGGTCCTGGAGGGCACAGTGCAGGGTGGTGTGGGCCGCTGGGTGGAGCTGGAGGCCACGGCTGGGAGTGTGGTGGGAGAGGATGGGGGGGTACCTGCCCAGGATCTTCGGGCTGCGGGGCGAGTAGGAGGCGATGGCTGTGGGGACACGGGGGTTACCTCCCTTCAAATGAGTGCACACGCAGGGGGTGGAAGGGGCTAGGAGCAGACTGGGCCTCTGCCACACCCTAGCTCTGCCCCCACTGGGCGCTTGTTCCCAGTGAGCTGAGACCCAGAGCCCAGCCTCTCCAGCCCTTACTCCAGGGTGGCCCAGAGTAGGGGCTGGACCCTATGGGTGCCATGAGCTGGATGCCAGTGTGGGGCAGCTTGGGTCTGCAGGTTGACCAGCAGTTCTGGCTGAGAGCATCAGGAGTGACCGGCCACATCCTCAGGGCCTGCTTGGTGGAGGACTGAGGGCCCCACAGGGTCGTGGGGTGTCCCTTATGCTGTGCTGAGGCACAGGATCTGAGAAATAAAGAGACAGGACACAGAAGTACAAGGAAAACGAAGCTGGGCTCAGGGGACCACGCCACCTATAAGCGGAGTCAGGTGAGGCCCCGAATGTTCAGAAGCATGAGTATTTATTGTATACAGGTTAGGGGGCAGGGCAGTGAGTGAAATCATCTTTAAGGACAGTGATAGGGTCGTGAGCAATAAAACAAGGGGTCCACCCCCATTAGGTCACCTAGGCCAGGAGGTGGACGGTGCGCAGCAAGGGGCCTTTTCCCATGAAGGCAAGGGCCATGTGCAGTAAGGGGTCCACCCCCATTAGGTCACGGAGGCATGGAGGTGGGCCGTGCGCAGTGAGGAGCGTGCAGTGTGCTATACTTCTGTCTATGGGCAAACTACTTCTAAGAAGATTTATAGGATGATGCTTTAAGTCACGTAGCAGTGACAGAGCTGTCAGGGTTACCGCCATCTTCTGGCAGCTTCCAGTGGGTTCTATGGGAAGATGCCTTTCGAGCAGCACAGTAAAAAGAGCTGGTAAAGTTCAGTCACCAAGGCGAGATTATACCGGAGGGGTTTTAAGCCCTCCGAGGCTCGTGCGATTGCCGGTCTGAGGGCAGCCTTCCACAAGAACTGGAGCAAGGTCCCACACCTCCTTTATCAGGAGTGGCTCTTGCCGCAAGCCTGCCATACAGCGGGTATCTTTACGATACTGAACGCTGCCGCCTGGGCCATGGATTCTTGTCCTGGTGTCACTGTTTTTCCCTTAAATCATGCTCTGCACTGTGTCTGCTCCAGACAGTCCTCCAACTATAAGCTGCTTGTTCCTTAATTCATGTTCTGTGCTGCGTCCACTCTAGGCATTCCTCCGATTATAAACCAAGATAGTTTTACATACACACACACACACACACACACACACACGGAAATAGCTGAGTGGTAAGATATTCTTTAGGCACTCATTCTATGAACTAATATGTGATTATGTAGAGAGGATTGTGTAAAGGAAGATAACTGAGTAGTAACACTATAAACTGAGATATTCTTCAGGCCTTCATTATGCCAGGATTCTGCTTAGCTCTCCTTCCTCAGTTTCTGTATGGAGTGTTACCCACAGCTTGGCACTGTGTCGGAGTGGCCCGCAGCCTTGAGCCTCTGTCTGCCACCTCTCAGGAGAGTTGGGCTGACGGTAGGTGGTCCCCGTCAGAGGCAGCTCCACAGAGGCCGGTGTGCGGCGGCGGCAGACATGGGCCGTCTCCTGTGGTGTGGTTCTCGGAACACCATTCCCAGTCAGGGGCGGGCTGCGTATCCCATGGTGGCCCTGTGAGGCTGATGGCACAGGACACTTCCTGTCACCTGATGACGTGGTAGCCATCGTGACGCCTTAGGCCAGTTGCCGTATTCCTGCATGAACTCAGCGTGGCCCAAGTGCGCAGGACCTGTGAGGCTTACGGTGGGCTTGACCAGGTCGCAGACCGCCTCGCTCAGCGGCCGGCTTGTCCAGAGCCGCCTCCAGCCCCACAGGCCCTGCCATGGCCAGTGTTCTCTTCACAGGCACCACTTTAAATCTTTTATACTTTGGTTTTGTGTGCTTTTTCCATGTTTGTTTTTTATTTGCGTGTGTGACAGTCTCACTCTGTTCAGGTTGCAGGGGAGTGGTGTGATTTTGGCTCACTGCAACCTCCACCTTCCCGGTTCAAGTGATCCTCATGCCTCAGCCTCCCGAGTGGCTGGAATGACAGGCACTTGTCACCACGCTGAGCTAAGTTTTGTATTTTTAGTAGAGACGGGTTTTCACCATGTTGTCCAGGCTGATCTCAAATTCCTGACCTTAAGTGATCTGCCCACCTTGGCCTCCCACAGGGCTGGGATTACAATCGTGAGCCATTGTGCCCAGCCTGCTTTTTCTATGTTAAAATGTGTTTAGACACGTGAGCCTTTGGGCAGTTGTAAGCTTTTGGCTGGTGGGGTCTTGCCTCAGTGTGGGCAGCTGCTGACTGATTAGGATGTTGGTTGCTGAAGGCTGGGGTGCCCGTGGCAATTTCTTAAATAAGACAACAAAGCCAGGCGTGGTGGCTCACACCTGTAATCCCAGCACTTTGGAACGCTGAGGCAAGTGGATCACAAGGTCAGGAGTGGCCAAGATGGGGAAACATTTATCTCCTCGTGCGTCTCCATCAGAGCTCTTGGGTGACGGGTACATGTCAAGGAGCTGTCGTATTTTGAGAGGAATCTTTTTTTTTCCTGAGCACCTAGGTATCAACAGTGGGCTTGAAATATTCATCCAGTCGTGCTGTAAACAGATGTGCTGTCATCCAGGCTTTATTGTTCCATTTTTGGAACACAGGCAGTTGAGTGATTCTTAAGGGCCCTAGGATTTGGGGAATGGTAAATGAACACGGGCTTCAACTGAAAGTCACCAGCTGTCTTCACTCCTAACAAGAGACGCAGCCTGTCCTTTGAAGCTTTGGAGCCAGGCACTGACTTCTCTGTAGCTATGAAAGTTCTGGCTGGCCTCTTCTTCCAGTGGAAGGCTGCTGCTTCCGTGTTGAAAGGCTGTCGTTTCGTGTCGCCACCTTCGTCGGTGATCTGAGCTGGGTCTTCTGGAGAACTTGCCGCGGCTTGTCCGTCCACGCTTGCTGCTTCCCTTTGCATTTCTATGTTATGGAGACGGCCTGCTTTACTAACAGCTCGTGAACCACCTTCTGTTAGCTGCGGCCTTCTTCTGCAGCCTCCTCACCTCTCTCAGCCTTCAGGGACGTGAAGGGAGTCAGAGCCTTGCTCTGGATGAGGCTTTGGCTGAGGGGGAGGGTTGTTTCTGGTTTGATCTTCCATCCCAGCCAATCACTGTCTCACCACATCCACACTAAGGCTGCTTTGCTGATTCTCATTCATGTGTTCACTGGAGCAGCACTTTTCCTTTCCTTCTGGAACTTTCTCTTGGCATTCGCTGCTTGGTCGTTTAGTTTAAGAGGCCTCGCTTTCACCCGGTCTTGGCTTGGATGTGGCTTCCTCACTAAGCTCTACCATTTCTAGGTTTTCGTTGAAAGAGATGTGCAACCCTTCCTTTCACTTGAGCGCTTTGGGGTCATCGTAGAGTTATTAATTGGCCTAATTTCGATATTGTTGTGTCTCAGAATAGAGAGGCCCGAGGAGAGAGAGAGACACGGGAATGGCGGGCTGAGCAGTCAGAACACACACATCTGTCGATCAAGTTCTGCATCTCGTGGGTGCTGTGCGTGGTGCCCCAGAGCAACTGTGCAGTAGTCACGTCGCTGCTTACTGATCACAGATCACCATACAGATACAATAACAGTGAAGAAGTTTGACATATTGGGAGAATTACTGAAATGTGACACAGAGACACAGCACTTGCTGTTGGGAGAACGGCACTGGTAGACTTGCTTGATGCAGGGTTGCCAAAAGCCTGCACTGTAAAAAGCCAAAGCAAAGTGCATAAAGAAGGCGCCGTAGAGCGAGGCCCGCAGCCTTTTCGTGCAGTGGGTGGCATCACCTTCCCCGCGGCTTGCGTGCTGTGATGTTTGCAAGACGATGTGGTCTCACCCTGTGTATCTTAGAACGCATCTCTCATTACGTGGTGCGTGACTATTTGTTTTTGCAAAATTTTTATTATACTATTTATACAATTAAGTTTGACATCCTGGCCGGGCGTGGTGGCTTACACCTGTAATCCCAGCACTGTGGGAGGCCAAGATGGGCAGATCACAGGGTCAGGAGTTCGAGACCATCCTTGCTAAAAACGGTGAAACCCTGTCTTTACTAAAAATACAAAAAATTAGCCAGACGTGGTGGCGTGCACCTGTCGTCCCTGCTACTTGGGAGGCTGAGGCGGGAGAATCGCTTGAACCCAGGAGGCGGAGGTTGCAGTAATCCAAGATTGTGCCGCTGCACTCCATCCTGGCAACAGAGTGAGACTCTGTGTTAAAACAAACAAACGAACAAAAATAACAACCACAAAAACAAGCGTGACATCTTGAGCAATTTTCTTTTTTTTCTTTTTTAGACAGGTCTCACTTTGTTGCCCAGGCTGGAGTGCAGTGCTGCGGTCTCGGCCCTTGGGGCCAAGCAGTTCTCTTTTTTAGACAGGCCTCACTTTGTCGCCCAGGCTGGAGTGCAGTGCTGCGGTCTCAGCCCTTGGGGCCAAGCAGTCCTCTTTTTTAGACAGGTCTCACTTTGTTGCCCAGGCTGGAGTGCAGTGCTGCGACCTCGGCCCTTGGGGCCAAGCAGTTCTCTTTTTTAGACAGGTCTCATTTTGTTGCCCAGGCTGGAGTGCAGTGCTGCGACCTCGGCCCTTGGGGCCAAGCAGTTCTCTTTTTTAGACAGGCCTCACTTTGTCGCCCAGGCTGGAGTGAGGTGCTGCCGTCTCGGCCCTTGGGGCCAAGCGGTCCTCCCACCACAGTCTCCGAGTAGCTGGCGCGCGCCACCACGCCTGGATAACTTTTTATATTCTTTGTGGAGACAGCAGGGTTTCACCATATTGCCCAGGCTGGCCTGAAACTCTTGAGCTCAAGCTATCCACCTGCCTCTGCCTTCCAAAGTGTTAGGATTACAGGTGTGAGCCATTGTGCCCAGCCTCAGTTTTCCATGTCACTAAAATCTATTTGAAAATGGAATTGGGAGGAGCCTGTCAGGGTCAGGGGCGGAGGGAGCTGGGCCCTCGGGCCATCCTCCTTGGTGACGCAGCTCCGGCCCTTTGCTGTGGGTCGCTGAGCATCCACAGAGCATCTGCTGGAGTAGTAGATGCTCGTCATCTGGGAGGATGGTCTGAGGGTCAGCAGGGGCAGAAGTGGGAATGGCTATAGTCCAGGACAGTGACCTGCCAGCTGGCGTTACCCCAGGGGAGTGCCCAGCTCAGGGATGGCCGGCCCCTTGCCAGGAGGACATGTGCCCCAAAGAGCACTGCCAAGAGGAGAGGAATGCGCAGCCCAGGCGTGGGGGCCTGGGACTTCCAGGGCCTGTGGAAATCAAAGCAGTGCTCACATAAAGGTCGACAACAGGCTGAGGGGAGTGGGGCTACTCAGCAACCCCTACCCCAGCCGGCGGCAAGGATCCTGGCAAAAGCGTCTTTGATAAGAGGCCCCGTTCCTTTCTGCCTTCCCACCCGAAGGAGGGAAGTGAGCAGGGTTTTCTTGGGAGAAAAAGGGCCCAGACCTCTCTGACCCCATGGAGGTCGGTGTGAGCAGGTGGAGCGCCGCCTGAGCCCCACCCCAATTCCTCCAGGAGCCCGGCCCAGCAGCCCCTCCCCACTGAGCTCATTTTATTGGGATACCCAGCAAGGGCTCAGCCTTTCCGAACATGGTCCCTGGCATCAGCTCCTGCGGGTTGGGCGGCCTCCTTGGGCCCCCACAGACGCCAGTCCCTGGACATTGGCTCTTGTTGGGTGACCGTCTTCACACATGGCTTTGCTGCTGAGGTCTTGGGTGGGTGGACGGGTAGGATCTGCCTGGGCAGCTTTGCATGGACAGCAGGCGTGCCTGGGCCCAGGAGTGCTGCAGACACTCCTCTCTGTCCATCTCAGTCCCTCGTGGCCACGCCTGGCACTGGCTCCCCAGCATAGCCCAGTGCCCTCTCCTCGTGGCCCGTTCGTGAGAGCTCTCACGTGTTCCCCCGTCACTGGGCTCCTGTGTCCTACTCTCAGATCCGTCCCCCAGTGGCCACGTTTCCTGTCCACTGGATGCCCCTTGCCCTGTGGCTCCCCTGCTGAGGGCCCCCCTTGCTGTCACTGAGAGCCCTTCAGAAACCCTAGCCCACTCACCAGGGCACCGAGGCTCCTTCCCATCGTGGAGCTTTCTAGAACCGTTGCCCCGGCCTGCAGGTGATGCAGCACCCATCAGAGGGCGGCCAGGTGCTGAGCCTCTGCAGCAGCATCAAGGAGGCCCCCGTCAAGGCAGCCGAGATCTGGATCGCCTCCCTATCCAGCCAGCCCATCGACCACGAGGACAGCGCCATGCAGGCTGGCCCCAAGGCCAAGTCCACGGGTGAGTGCGGCTCCACTCCTGCCCCTGCTGTGGGGAGGCTGTTCCTGGCCACAGCACATTGGGCAGCAGAATGTGCAGCCTGGCCAAAGGAGCGGGAGTCCAGAGCATGCGTCAGCCACTTTCCTGTCTGGAAGCCACAGCAGAGGTGTATGCTGTTGGGTCCAGGCTGCCACAGGCCCCTGCTCTGCCCCTGTGGCTGCAGCTCCTTGGTCAAGAGGCCTGAGCCCAGAGTGTCTGTGAAAAGGAGGTGTGAGGTCTCACTGTGATGCCTTTGCTTGTCTGGGTGCAGGCCTCAGCATGGGCAGGGGCTCGGGCTGGCCGAGGTTGCCACCATCCCAGTAGGGTCACCAGCACGTCCCCCACTCCTGAGGCAGGGGGCACCCAGTTGGCGAAAATCCAGGCTGAAATGCCAGACTGGCAGGAGGGCCGTGTGGGCCAAAGCAGCTCGTGTGGCCCCCCTTGCCCTCCCTGCCCCCCCTTTCTGCCAGCCCGGACATGGTCTGTTGCCAGTGGACTGTGGGGGCTGGGGGCCACGGCACCTGTGTCCAGAGCCTCTCTGTCCTGCACGGATCCACCTCCTCGCTGCCCCAACTCTGTGTCCAGGGAAGCCTGGGGGTGGTCGCCGCCTGGTTTCACAGATGCAATCTCACAGCACTCTCCTTTCTGTCTGCTCATTCCACAGATAACTACTCGGAGGAGGAGTACGAGAGTTTCTCCTCCGAGCAGGAGGCCAGCGACGACGCCGTGCAGGGGCAGGTGACATGGCGCTGGGCTCCTCGCCCTCTCCCAGCTCATACCGGGTGTCCTGGGGTCTGTGGGGTCCTCACCAGCTGTCACCAGGGTCTTGTGAGACAGGCAGGGGTGGGCGAGCCACAGGCCTGGCCCCCGGTTGGACGCCCACCTCCCATCTCCCGACCCCAGGGGCTGGAGTTAGTGCGCAGGTGGCTCTGAGGGCCTTGGGACACAGGTTGGCGCTCAGTGATGGGCCTCTCCCACCGCCCATGCTGAGGCTGGCAGGGACCTCCTGGCGCCATGCAGGCCTCCACGGCCTCAGCCACTGTGTGTGTCTCTGCAGGACTTGGACGAGGACGACTTTGATGTGGGGAAGCCTAAGAAGCAGCGGAGATCGATTGTAAGAACGACGTCCATGACCAGGGTGGGTGGAGACTGGCTCTATGAATGTTGGGGAAGGCGGGGGCGGGAAGGACGCAGGGACCCTGGGCGTGGTGGGGACCTGGGTGTGGTGGGGGTGCGGGCGTGGTGGGGGGAGCCCGGGCGTGGTGGGGACGTGGGCGTGGTGGGGACGTGGTGGGGGGAGGGCAGGTGTGGTAGGGACCTGGGCGTGGTAGGGGGGCAGGTGTGGTGGGGACCTGCGCGTGGTGGGGGCACGGGTGTGGTGGGGACGCAGGTATGGGAAGTGAGATTTCACCCCAGGTCATAGCAACATGTCCTGTGGCGGACCCCCTGGCTGCTAGCCCCCTGCGGGGTGCCACTGTCTCCCACACCCTGCCACATTTCCTGGCTCCAGCCTCATGTGGCTACCAGGATCGGGGCACTGAACGAGGCTGAGAGTCCGCCTGGCTGCCAGGCTCACTCCACGTGTGGAGCCCCAGAGATGCCATCCTCCCCTCTGGCCCATCAGGCACCCCCGTACGCCTGAGTGTGCTGGTTCCCCTGTTTTTGTTTGGGATCTGGTCTACCTGGCACCACAGTCCCCAGGAGCTTGGTGAGGTTGTTGGGCATTTTTTCCCTGAGGAAAGCTTGGGCAGCTCTTTTCCAGAGGCCACACCTGGCACTGGCACAGAGGGTCCAGCCCCTGGTGCCTGGAGTCCCTTAGAGAGTGCACAGCGCTGGGAGGCCAGCGCAGGCAGCTGGGAGCCCTATGCCTGGTGATAACAAGGGACGTGGCACAGCCCAGCCCACGACACCACCACCTCCTCTGGCAGTGTTCAAGGGGGGCCGTGGGCAGACAGTGCTGGGGACAGGGGAGCTGCTCCCGAAGTGGCGAAGCTGTGTCTTTCTGGCCTGGAGAGCAGCCCCCCACTGGGCAGCCCCCTGCTGGGCAGAGCACCAGTTTGAGCCTGCATTCCAGGGCCCCCTGGGACCCACCTGCTGTAGGGAGGGAGGGCGTAGGTAGGCTGCCTTTGTAGGGTTGGCCCCTGAGAGAGTGGTAAGGCTCCCGCTCGCCCAGTGGCTGGAGCTGAGGGTCTGCAGCCCAGGGTGGCACGAGGCTCCCATGGGGCTCCCCTTTGAGCATGCGCCACCTCAGGCTCGCCCACCTGCCCACCCCACATGGGTGCCTGGCACCTGCCTTCTGGAGTTGGCCGGGGCCTCTCCTGGGGGGGATGCTGAGGGAAGGGCCCTGTGAGCCTGGGAAGGGCTGCAGAGGCTTCTGGAAGAATCATGGAGTCCACACACACACCTCCCCAGGCCCCCCTTGGCCAGGTCTGGAACTGTCAGACCTCAGGTCTGTCGGTACACTTCTGGGAGCCACGTGTGAATCCACTACTGGTGCTGAGGCCTTGCTGCTCCCACTGCCGGCCCAGGTGGCCTTCCTGTGGCCTCCCTGTGGCCTTCCTGTGGCCTGAGGAAGTGGCTCCCGCTCAGGTCTGTGGGTCTGACTCTGCGTTGCTTGTCTTGCAGCAACAAAACTTCAAGCAGAAGGTGGTGGCGCTGCTGCGGAGATTCAAAGTGTCCGACGAGGTGAGTGCACTCTGCTCGCAGCCCCGCCCACAGCAGCCTGGTGGGGAGGAGGCCTCTGGAGCCTGCTCCAGGTCACTTGCTGGGCCTCTGCTGAAGTACACGTTGTGAATACACTGGAAGTTGGGAAGTCATCTTCAGGCGAGGCGGCTGTAACCATGAGTTTGTGTGATTGTTTTTTTATAAACAGACTTTGTTTTTTAGAGCAGTTTTAGGTTTATAGCAAAATTGAGCAGAAAGTAGAGTTCCCATGGACCCTTCCTGCCTGACAGCCCCCCCACTGTTGACATTCTGTGGGTTTTTCATGTTCATCTTGTAGCTTTTCTCTAATCTCTGAATTTTCTACAGTGAACTTGCAAAATTTTTATACAAAAAAAAAAACCATAGCTGGGCCTAGTGGCTCATGCCTGTCTGTAATCCCAGTACTTTGGGAGGCCAAGGAGGGCAGATCACTTGAGCCCAGGAGTTTGAGACCAGCCTGGGCAACATAGCAAAACCCCATCTCTACAATAAAATACAAAAATTAGCTGTGGGTGGTGGCGTGCACCTGTAGTCCCAGCTACTTGGGAGGGAACCTGGTAGGTCAAGGCTGCAGTGAGCCTAGATCAAGCCACCGCACTTCAGCCTGTACAACAGAGCGAGACCCTGTCTCAAAACAAACAAACAAACAAACAAACAAAAACACTCAGTCTCGGCTCATTTCAACCTCTGCCTCCCAGGTTCAACGGGGTTTCATCATGTTGGCCAGGCTGGTCTTGAGCTCCTGACCTCAAGTGATCATCCACCTGCCTCAGCCTCCCAAAGTGCAAGGATTATAGGAGTTAGCCACCGCACCCTGCCTTTGTTGTTTCTTTAGTGTCAGAAGAAAATTGTGCCTGGGTTCAGGACCCACAGTGGAGAGGGCATTTAAACGTTTCAGCCCTGGAGCAGTGTTGTCACCTGCTGTCCTGTTAGCACGCTGCCTGTAGATGGCGCTGTGTCCTCTCACACTAGGGATGCTCAGGTGCGGCTCCAGGTGCATGTGCCGAAGCAGGTGCTTGTGGCCCGCGGGCAGGCAGCGTTTCTGGGAACACTGTAGCATCACCACCTGGCTGCAGGGGAAGGACAGCCCCGCCACTGGGGTGGTCATCAGGCCCCTGTGTCTTGGTTTGCATCTTGGGTTGGAACGTACCCAAGTCCAGCTGAAGATGGGACTTAGCCAAGTTGGCTCCCTGGCCCAGGGCTCCCTTGAGCCCTGCTGAGTGCCTGTGGGTTCAGGGGTGGCTGCTCTTGTTTGAGTCTTGACCGTGGGGTTCTGCACTCACCTGGGCAACTGAACTGAGTCCCAGAATGCATTTCACTTACACAGATGATGGTTCTGAGACTCACAACCCAAACCGTGAAACGATGGGCCAATGCCACAGACACTATTCCCGGAGAGGACATCGTTTTCACAGGAATAATTGTGCAGTTTTGTGTATAATTCACACAGGTCAACACAGTGCTTTAATGGAGCGATAGGATCTCTTATTTCCACCCATCGCTCCCTTTCCTGCAAAGACCAGACCATCCCCACTGCAGCTCTGAACCTGTGTCTCGCTTCCCTGCCCAGAACTTCTCAGCAACCCTCAGGGGCAGGAGAGGTACACTGAGGGGAGGTCGCCTGCCTGGGTTACAGCTCTCTGAGGTTGTTCATGCCGCTATAACAAAATACCTTCGTCCGGGAAATGTATAAACAACCAAAATGTGTCACCCACAGCTCTGGAGGCTGCAAGT